ACCGGTCCACCCCTAATCGGCTCCTACGCGAATGTGATGTAATATACTACTTTTAAAATATGCATTGATATAACATTTTAAAATGAGCATAACATCATTACAAAATGAGCATACATTAGTTTCCAAATGAGCAATGATATAAAAATCATAACCTTTGTTAGTTGAACATCAAAACATGTTAATTGAGCATCAAACCTCATTTTATAAAGTTTACTCATGCATATTTATTTAACACTATACACATTTGAGTATAACACAAAACTCATGTTAAATTAAAAATAGAAAAATAAAACATTAATATCTAAAATATTTTATAATACATAAATTAAAAAAACTTAAGTTAGAAGTTTGATTGGGTAGAGAGAAAAAATAAAATGTGACATTTAATAACATTCGTATTGTTATTTATATTATAATTTTTCATTATATTTGAATATAAGGATAAACTGGGCCGGGCCGAACCGGCCCGGAACCGGACTGGCCCGCTACTGTGCAGGCCCGGACCGAACTGGGCCCGGTTGGTCGGTTCCGGGCTTTTAGCCCGTGTAGGCGGGCCGGGCGGACCGGGCTCGGGCCCAGTTTTGGGCGAACCGGCCCGGGCGGTTCGGGTTGGGCCCGGGTCAATTTTTTTTTTGTTTTTTCAATTGTTTTTCTTTTCCTAGGGTTGGGTTGGGTGTTTTGGGGAGTTTTGGGGGGTGGGGGTGAGGGGGGAGGGTCGGGGGATAACAAGAAAGCAAAAAAAAAAATTAAGTATTGAACCGGGCCCGGCCTGGCCCGGTTAGGCCCGGACCCGGTAGCAACCCGGGCCGGTTCCGGGCCCAAGGAATTGCAAAAAAAGCCCGCCCGGGCTCGGCCCGGAATCGGAACCGGCCCGGCCCGGGTGGCCGGGTCCATCCATATTTGAATATAAAATCAAAGTAAAAAGTTACTAAAGAAAAAAACAAAAAATGAAAGGAGAACAAACAAAAAAAAGGACAAAAAAGAATAGAGAACACAAAACTATGGTTGGACTCGGGTCGGGCCACCCGGCCCGCGGACCGGCCCGCTACTGTGCGGGACCGGGACCGGCCCGGTTCTCGGGTCCGGGTCGGGCCTAGGCCCGGGGGTAGGGCGGGTCCGGGCTCGGGTCTCAAATTTGGTGAACCGGCTCGGCCGGGTAGGGCCTGGGCTCGGGCCAAATTGATTTTTTTTTTATTTTTTTTTTCATTTTTGGGGTTCCACCCGGGTAGGCATGGCAATGAGTCGGGGCGGGTATTGCAAGACCCGGACCCGCCCCGTGACCTGCACGGGTCCAAATTTGTTGACCCATGACCCGCCCCATGCGGGGCGGGTCCGCCCGCCTCGCCGTAACCTAATTTGCTAGGATGTATTTTTTTGTGGGAAGTTGTTACCAATTGAATCTACATAATGTTTATCTCTAAATAATAATTAAAAATCAATATATTAAATCAAATTCATGATACGCTAAAAATTTAAAAAAATAAGGAAAAATTACTCAAACTTGAATAGTTAATCTTATTAGTTATATTACTAATTGAATATATGTATTAAAATTCAATATATAAAGAAGATATTGATAATATATACTCCGTATTCATATATTATAAGATCAAAGAATTTATGATTTATTGTATATACACATTTGTATGTTGAAGTATATTTGTAGTACTATAATTTAAGAAAAAGTATGTATACTTATATATTCAGCGGGTCGGGTCGGGGCGGCACAGGTCAATTCTAATACTCGGATCCGCCCCATTGTATAGGCGGGGCGGGTTGGACCCGCCCCATTTGCAAGACGGGGCAGGGTGGACCCGCCCCAAATGTCTCGGGTCAGGGTGGGTCATTGCGGGTTGGGTTTTTTTGAGATCCCTACACCCGGGTTGGGCTTGATGGGTAGGATGGGTTTGGGGGGGGGTTGGGAGGGTGGGGGTGAGGGTGGCTACCCGGGCCGGTCCCGGGTCCACCATTCCTGAACCGCCGGCCCACCCGGGCCTAGGCCCGACCCGGCCCCGGCCCGGATCGAGGCCCCTACACAAAACAATAGAAACCATGCCCAATAGTAACCGTTCAGCATAGGTGGCCACATTCAAGAGGAGTGCATGCGTGCGGCGAAATAAAATGGACCACAGCAACTCAACCTAAATATTGTCATGAAAGTTGCAATAAATTATAAAAATTAAAGTAGTAATTAAACAAATGTCGATGCAATAAAATGTCTGCAATTAACGGATGAAGAGGACGGTTATTCCTTTAATTCTCCCAAACGTTTAACATCATATCATCCTACTTTTCACCCCCTTTACATTGTAATTTATTTACGTAGTATTTATTTATGAAACCAATACTTTCCTCGATAGTTTGCGTGATACCCGACATTTCAAACTCGAATTTTGTACATCTAATTATCTTTATCACGTGTCATAATCATTTTATCAATATTTCATGTACAAAGTTTATGCTTTTCGAAAAAATGTTCACCTAACATTCATGTTATACTTGAAAAAACGTTTAATGTTTCATAATGATGTTAAGCATAATCATTGGCCCGACACTGAGACAAGGAGACAAAGCCCATTTGGCAAGTATTTATATCTGACTAAATAGTTGAATTTGTTAAACGCTAACTTTAATTTCTTTCTTCTTTAATTTGTCCAAGTAACTTCAACCAACACCAATTCATCATTTCACCATTCCGCAACTCATCAATGCTGGATCAATTAAGTTAGTATTTGGTTGAAATTTTGACTGATAAATCTTCATAAATAAGCTGCCCAATACCAATTTGCATGATGTATGGTGCTACAAAGAAAATTACGTGTAAGATTCATCTAAACTAATTAAATACTCCGTATATATAAGCTCTTGCACATTCCGTTTGCTAACACTAAAATTAAGTGATCGAATGGATATGTTGAAATTGAAAAAATTCTAATTGAAGTAGTTTCAATTTGCTAAATTATAAAAAATTGTATTTAAAATATGTTTTACTCCCTCCGATCCTTGAAACTTTGTCAACTTTCTTTTTATGGATGTCCCACTAACTTTGTCATTTTCCCTTTTAAGTAAGCAATTTGTGATTTTAGTTAATTCTTTTTCTTCACCACAAACCTCAGCCACACAGTTTTTACTTTATTAATCTTTGTGTTGCACCGCCTAAATTCCAGTCAAACTTGGCAAAGTTTTAAGAGATGGAGGGAGTATAAAATAAAGAAAAAACATATGAAAAATAATTAAAATATTCATATGTAGTAATTTCAACCACTCCGGTCACAAAGTAAGTCAGCTCTTACTTATTTTGATTATTGCACAATTCAATGTGCAAAATCAAAAAGTACTTGTTTGATAAAAAGCCAGTTGATATGCTCAAAATAGGGATCACTACTCATTCAAACAAGCTCATAATGCTTAAACAGGAAAACACTCATACATACTCCTAAATAGGAATAACTTGCTCTTATAGTAAAAAAAAATAGTCGCTCTTATTTGATCATGTTCCTATTATATGTTGGCTGACCCCAAAATCTTTGAAGATTAAGAGGCCATTTGGCAACACTGTTTTTCGGCTTATCAGCCAATTTTTTCACCAAACACGTAATTTTGCTTTCACGCGCTGAATTGTGTAATAAGCAGAAAAAGTAAGGTTGAAGTTACTTTTCTAGCTGTATTGGCTGAAGTTACTGTAGATGACCATTTTAGCTATTTTTACATATAATTTTTTCCTTATTTTACTAATAAAATATATTTTAAAATTATTTTTTGTTAAATCAGCAGAATCGACCAATGTAGCCGCTTCAGCTAGAAATTCATAAATTTCAGCAGAATCAACCAAATCAGCCGATTTTTGTGCTACCAAACGGGCTCTAAGAATGTTGATGTATTTGATCATGTTCCTATTTTTTATGAGGCAATTTCTTTTCTACAATTGCAGTGTGAATAGTACTACTCCATATTACGTATTTAAACAATCGATTTCTTTTTTACCATGATTAAAGCTGCATAACAGCATAAGAAAAGACCACACCCACCACAGGATAGCTTTTTTTTATTGTTTTCTAAAATGGGTAAGGATGAATGGAGAAAGCGTTGGACAGAAGGCAAAGAATTGCCATACAAGGCATATGTGCTTTCTGGTATAGGTGTAATAGTGGGGTTATAAGTAACAAACAGTCATTCACATGCACCCACCTTCTGAAAATACCATCCCCTTTGCCATAACCACGACCACGTTCCTTCCACGCAAAAACAAAATGGACGTTATATTTTTTTTTATAGTTAATATGGAAATATTTGGTTCTAATTTGCTAATTGAGTGAATGCTCTCTCAAATCAGCTTACTTTGGTTTTCAGAAAAGAAAAACAAAACTCAACACAATTAGGCTCTGTTTGGTACCATAATCGGCGTATTCTGCTTTTCCTCGAAGTAAGTTAAAGAACACAAAGCTCACTTAGGCTCTCTTTGGTATGCATAATCGGTACGCGCACGGGTAGCTCAGTTGGTCAAGTGGTGGGAGATTTGGAACAATGGACCAAGGTTCGAATCCTCGCAGCGACCGGGTAGAGGTCACAGAACCTGAAATAAGGCTGAGCCTCTAGTGCGCACGGGTGTATGGGCCTACTGCCATTCTACTGACTGAGTCACCGTGACTAACCTCCCCACCATCCTGTCGGGTCGGGGTGGGGGGCTCCTGGGGTGGGAGATTCCACCTTTTGGAACAATTGGTATGCATAATCGGCTTATTCTTCATTTCGGCACGTAACTTAAAGGGAAAAAAAGGCTCAAGAGGATTAGGCTCTGTTTGGTAATTGGTACCCATAAACGGCTTGTTCTTCTTATCACCAAAACAAGTACTTGTATAAATCTGGCTTACTTAAAGTTATGTGGACGAAATCACGAAATTGATTCCAACAAAACGCTTTCCTTTTAGAATATACCGTAGATTCAACCATTTGTTATAATTAATTCTAACCAAACAGGCTGTTAGTAAAAAAACCAGGTCTTTGTAGGATAGAGAAAAATTCAATATGAATGTAATTGTAAACAAATTAGCACATACAGGTTATACATGTCAGTATGGATGAAGGAAAGGAAAGTTGCATTTCTCAGCAGGAGAATAATAATTGAATGTTTTTAGTACATAAATTTTACAACGAAGCATCTACAAAGCAAACTCGGACATTAAGTCATTAACAATGAACCTTGTGGTAATGTGGTCATGTTCTGCAGATGAAAGTTGATCCGGCAACACACAACCAACTTGAAAGCCGTCAATAATCAGCAGAGCAAACAAATGGTGAACATATATTACGAAAAAAATTTAAATAAAAACCCACCCCAATTTAAGTTACAATGAAGAATAATGTAAATCAAATGTGTTGAATAGAATAGTGTACCTAAAAGACCTCTCCCTTGTTTTTAACAACCCATCACAGCACAATTGTAAACAAAGACACCTGAATGCTCCTTTACCCCAATAACCTTCCAGTCCAAGGTTCCATCCTTAATAGCTGACCTAGGTGACCAAGCACTCAACACGATAGCCTCACCTTCAGGGCCCCGTTGGCCTCCCACAATGAGAAGCCTTTCCCCGCATGACCTGAAAGCAAGACCCCAACCGTTTGAAGAATCGGCCCTCACGGGTAGTCTTCCCAATACATCCCACGTGTTCTTTTCCCAGTCATACTTCTTCACCATGTTGGTTAGATACTCAACTGCATAGAGTTGGTTACTAACAACTGCTACTAATGGAGGTGCCTGTGCAGCTCTATTGACGGTTGGATACATTCCATCTATTTTTCTCCACTTTCTGGTTTTTAGATCAAACTCCTCCCCACAAGTTAAAGAGTCAGTGGCACTTGTCATTCCACCGATCACATAGAATTTCCCATGCATGAAGAAACCAGAACATAACCGGCGTGAAGAGTGCATGTTGGGCAATATCTCCCATTTTCCGGTTGAAGAATCGTAAAGCTCAGCAGAGTTAAGTACATTTCCGTTCTTGTCACTCCCCCCTGCAACAATTGCAATCGATCCAATACTACCGGATGCAAACAAGCAACGTGGGTGGTTCATAACATCACACTTGATCCAGTTATGCCTGACCAAACTGTACTTCCATATGGCAAAATCAAACAATTCGCGACCGAAAACAAGCAACTCACTACCCACGGCTAACGACTCTTTATCAGCATAGTTAAAACACTCATCACAAGGTATTTTAGGCAAACGGAACCATTTATTTCTAAAGGGGTCAAAAGCTTCCCAACCCCTAGGGTCAGCAACCATGTAAACCCAATGTTCAACAATTCCCAGATGTCTTCGCAACTCATACAGATATCCACTTTTAAGCAATGAATTGAATTTTGAGTTTAGGAAAGAGAGTGAAGCATAATCTGATCTACATGTCCAAGCTAGACATGTCAATGCTACATCATTGTGTAGACCAGGGAGGAGAGAGTCATTTGGTCCTAATTTCGCGCAACCATCGTCCACTCCACCAGAACTCGTATCCAAAGCATGTTTACCACCCTTCAGATATGAATGATCAATTGAGGACTTATTGATCTTATATGAACAAGAGAGAATCAATTTCTTGGTTTCGTGGGTTTCAAATCCCATATTGTCAAAAGTACTCCAGTTAAGACTACCAAAATGTGCCTTCTCTTTTCAGCGTCACTGTTTCCAATCGAACAGCAACTCCCTGTCCATTCCCCAGGATCAATGATTATAATTTGGACTAGGAACTAAAAATGCATCCAGTCGAACTTTAGTAGCAATAGAGATCCTTGATAAATGTAAAATCAAATTCAGACTTCCTAATAAGGCTATGCATAAATTCGATAGTTCCAAATATTGATATACACTATCTAACCTTCATTTTCAATCCGGATATCAAATAGCTTCAAATGATCATTGCCTGAAAATGAATTCAAAAAGTAGGCTAATTATCAGGCGAACAAGAGAAGTGATATTTTGGAGAGGAATGGAGAGATGTCGGGATCCAAACCAGAATTGAGAGATATCCAGATCGCAACTGAGAATCTGACACTGCTCTGCACCGTCAGACGCGTATGAGGTGAAGATGAATGGACAGATGAGTTTAACCGGAGAAAGAAGAGGGAGTAGCTAGATCCAGTTCAGGGGATACATAACCGGAAAACATGTCAGAGATGATTCCCGGCGAGCATTTTATTTTACCGAAACAAATAGTATGAGAGAGAATGAAGTTGCGGCCTTGGGATTCGGTACTTTCGAACAACAAACAAACTGATTCGAAAAGGAAAAAATAATACTGTAATAATAAAACGACAAGCGAGAGATGATTTGGTATTATTATTATTGAATTAATATACTTAAATAAACTCTTAGTTTGATAAAATAAAAAAATTACCAAAATGGCACATACTCTTTGAGCCGGCTTGGAAATATCTAAATCGTCTCAATCACTAATTGTTCTCAAATACGAGTTCTAATCTGTATTCTCAGATTCTGTAGATTTATTAAGAAATATACTCATTCCGTCTCATTAGAGGGTTCTCACTTTCCATTTTTGGACGTCCCATATAAAGATACTCATTTCAATTTTAGGAAATAATTAACAACCATAAGTGACAAATTAATTATTAAATATTAAAAAAATACAATTATAACATCACAACTATCAATATTAACTACATTATAATATATGCATATTAAAATTATTTCTCAAAATCTACTCGAAGTACTTTATTTAATTGTTGTCTAAATAATCGTGCCGTTTTACTATGAGAACCTTCCAATGGGACGGAGGTAGTAATATTTAGGGTTAATTATCAAAATAGGACTAAGAGTCACTCACTTTGCACAAAAAGAACCAAAAAGTAAACTATGTTTTCATATGACTAATTATGTGTGTCTTAGATAAATACGAAGTATATCCTTATAGCTATTGAAATGTTTTAATTCATAATAAAATAATAAAAATAATAAAAATACTAAAAAATTAATAAAAATATTTCGATAATAATAATTTATTTATTTATTTTCAATAAAAAAAATAAATAAAAAACTCGAAAAATAAAAATTAAATTCACCGTCGCCTCTGCCGCATCTGCACCACCACCTCCAGTCACCAGGGAAAAAAATGCCAAGTTCCATATTTATGGCAGAAAACAATGAAAATCTTGGCAATCTCAAAGAGAAACATGCCATGTTTTTGGCATTTTCAGAAGAAAAAAATGACAGTTTATAGGAAAAATGCCATTTTTTTCACCGGCCGTAGATGGTGGTGCAGGGAGATAGTAGAGGCGGTGGGAAAGACATCCATATTTTTTTTTAATTTTTTTTTAATGGAGTTTTACTATTTTTATTAATTTTTTTTAAAAAATAAAAAACAAACATTTAATTTTTTATTTTATAAATATTTTATAATTTTTTTATTTATTTTTCTTTGAATTTTTGAATTTTTTTCGAATTTATTATGAATTAAACATTTAAGTAACTCATATTTAAAGGAAGGGTAAGAATGGAATGAAAAAATAGGTATGTTTCCAATACGACTAATATGGTCCTATTTTGAAAAGAAAAACATAGTAAGTCCTATTTTGAGTTTTTCCCATACTTTTAGTCCTATTTGGAGTAATTTCTCTAATATTTTAAATAGTTAAAATGATTTTCTACAGTAACTCAGTAACTTCAATTGATAAAGCCAAATAAAAAATTACGTGTTTTGTAAAAAAAATTGTTGATAGGCTTATAAGCCAAAAAACAGGGTCACCAAACCAAACAGACTTTATATATTACTATTTTCGTTTCAATTCAAAAGAAAATGGTGAATGCTAGAGTGTTAATTAAAAAATAAGAATATAATACTTATGGAACATTTGATTGATCCAAATAAATATTTTATCATTTATTTATATTTAAATTATTGCAATATTCAAATCCTTCCGTAGAGACAATATATATAGTGCTTTGGTTACGTTGCATAATAGATTTTGCCAAAAAAAATCCACATTTCAATTTTAGAGTGAGGCTTTTCATAATTCTTCTCTTACCAACATATTTGAGTGGCGTGTCAATGCATATTTTTTATTTTGTTGGTTTATTTAGGTAAAATTCAGCTTTTTAAAAGGATAAAATAATGTCGCAAAAAAAAAAAAGATACTCCGTAGAAATAATTAGAGTTAGATCCTTATGTATGAATTTATTAGAACTGCACTGTCGATACACCATTTCCTACTTGTGATTAGAATTCTTGTCATTTTTCTAAAAATGAATCGTCTAAGTTTTGGTCTAGAACTAGGACCATGTCACCAATGCACTAGTTTGCAACATACTCGCTCCGTTTCCAAAACAAAGTCACAATTTGACATTTATGAGTAAGATCTTTCTTGTGTTTAATTCAAAGTGTCCAATTTTGTCTGATTTTTATTATTGTGCATGGAAAATAAAGATGGTGTAACCCAGGATATACTAGAAAAATTATCCTTTATCAGTAACCAATGTACTGGTTTGATGTTCAAATAAGGGGGACTCTCTTTTTGGACATATGATGTAAAAAAATAGCCACAACGTTGCTCATTTTTGGACATAATATTTTAATATTAACATTTGAGATAAATTACTTTGGCTTACCACCTGGCAGGAACACCCAATCCTTCCATCACTATCAAATCTGCAAATTATTGATGATGAGATCTTGTCCATTAATTTCATACCTTACGGGCTTATGGTCTAATTATATTTTGGATTCAAATATAATACTACGTACCTTCTAATGATTTAAGTTGTGATTATGGAATAATAAAACACACTCCGTAAGGATGTTTTTAATTGGACTGTAATTTGCTGGTCTGGTCTGGTCTGGTCTGGTCTTGTCTGTACTGGTCTGGTCTGATTTCTTTGTATTTTTATAACTATCCAAATCTGGTCTGGTCTGATCTGGTCTAGTATGGTATGGGACGAATTACGGTCCAAGTAAAAACATCCTAAGTTATACTCCATTTAAATACCTCAACTCTCTTTAAAAAATCCATAACATTCACTACTACGGAGTACAAGAATAACATAAAGAATAACATACCACGTAACACATTCCAGAACCAACGTTAAAAGTATAAAATAATGGACGTTATATGTTCCTTCCTAATGAGTTTGGTGTATTTTGTGTGGTTCAATAATAATGAAACACCGGCCAACTGCATCTAACTTTTGTTGGGTAGAATGTGCAAAAGTGCAAGCATGTGAAAGTTAATTGGCTGAATGCTGAATTGGTCCATGCATTTTATAGAATTTGTTGATCTTTCTTTATTTTATTATTATTGCTCGTACTTTTTTATCTACATTTAACTAAACAAAGTGTGTGGAGTTGCATTCTTTCCACTTTTGTTCGTTTTATTAATTTTCACCATTATTATCGTTCGGGAGTAAATTAATACTACACCCGTTCCTCTAAAACGGGACATAAAAGGGTGGTGTCATAATTTATAAAAGTATTGGAAATTTATGATAACACATAATTAAGCAGACTTAGTTTGCTTTTATATTCAATAAATTATATTTAAAATTACATTTGGAGCACCTAAACCAATCATTTAATATAAAAAGCGAAAGAGCGCAGGTTCTCTCGGTACGGTTTGGAGACGTCTCTTTGCTCGGCGAGTTTTAGCACGTGAGAGATAGAGGGTGTGCGCTTCCATTGCGCAAGACTTCATCCGCGTTTCAATGAGGCAGGGGAGATGGAGGGTTCTCGGCAGGAAATCGTTTGTGAAGCAGATGGGAGCTGAGCCTTCTGCGCCGGGGTTTGGAGTTGTGGCTTGGCGTCGACAATCACCACCATAGATTGAACGAGGTTTTAGGGTTCGAGAAATTTATCTTATTAGTTATTGTTATTTTGATGTTTGGATTCTTGTTATAATGTCTTTGTTGCTAGTTTTGCCGAGATGATTGAAAATTTAGCTTATTTTTTTACTGCTAGAAGTATACGGATCTATCGAAATAGTGATACTTGTGCCAAGCCTATTTTGTTGTTAGCAATTCGTATTGTTCTATAAGGGATGACCGTTTCTATGTATAATTGTAGGGTTTACGGTCGTAATTGGTGAAGTTTAGTTGATGTTAGGTGTGATCTTTCTTTGATTGAGTGACGAAGTTGAAACTAATGATATAAATGTAGGCAATTTACTTAAAAGAACCTTGCGTTTGATATTTTTTCAGAACTTGGAGTGAATGATACATTAATTCTCAATTCAAAGCAAGTTACTACAAGTGTGATATAAAAGAAACGTGGGGATGCAAATTTTGCTCCACATCAATAAACAACTGAATGTGTATAAAATAAATTTTTATAAGTGAGTTCGGGCCCTTGGGTTAACATAAAATTTTGTATACGCGATTAGCTACCTGAGTACAACTTCAACTTGAACATGTTGGGCTTTAGATAAATACTCCGTATTTTTGCTCAAACCCCAAATGAAAAGTACTACCTTCTTCAATTTGATATATTGGTTGAAAGGTAAAATTATATTTGAGGTTTGAATATAATAAAGTGTAAAGTGAAGTGATAAATATCACATATTGTTTGCTAAAAAGGAATTAAGGCATTCATTTAGAGACAATCCAAAAAGAAAACTAAACTGACCAAAATGAGACGGGGAGTATGTTACTTTTTTAGTATGTTAATATTGTTAGTCAAGCACTCAAGCTAAGCACGGACAAAGTGAGTTTATATAGGGGTGTACTGGGATGAGTCGGCCTGACCCATCACCTGGCACAGACCGGCATTGTGCAGGCCCACCCCGGCCCGTTGGCCTAGGACAAGGACCAGGACTGAGGCCTGAACCGGCAGATTCAACAAGCGGGCTACGGGTCATGAAAATGATGGCCCGGCCTAGCTCGGCCGGGTCCAATTACTTTTTTTTTATTTTTCCCATTGGAATTACTTCAAAAAGACCAAAAAAATATATCCAGCCCGGTCCCGATACAAACCCGGGCCAGTACCGGGCCTAAATACTTTGGACCCGGAGCCCACCTCAGCCGGACCCGAAGCCCGGCCCGACCCGTCCCCAATCCACCCCTAAGTTTATATACAAACTAGAAATTTTACTTTGTTATTCTCTTTTGTATACAGGTCTAGAAATTAGAAAAATCGATTACCATCCGTTATGATGTCAATTTTTTGGGGGGCTTTTATCGTATCATTGAAAAAGGCCATGACTCTATCTTTTTACCTGAGGATCGAAATGGATTTGGAATTAGAGTTTTTTTGACAGGTATATCAAGAGCCATTAATCTGATGAGGAAAAATGAGTTGATGAAAACAACTCAACAAAATGAAGAACTGTTGGCTTTAGATAGGGGTTTATGGCCATTCGAACAAAATGACATCTCTATATCTAGCAATCTGTTTCAAAACGACATTGAGCACTTTACTCAAGTCTAGATCTCTCTTGAGGCAAGCATAGTAGGGACATATGCGGATTTGAATTCAGGAGAAATTCTAGAAGTTATGCCTCTTAATGTGAATATTGAGGGCTTATGGATTCTTCACACGAGGAGGCCTCTCACAGCGGTAGGCAACATGAACAAAATAACTGTTCGCAAAAGGCTGATATTCAAGGTTTTTCTCCTTCGACGATCACTGTGGATATATCTTCATCGACTGATTTGATTTCTTCTTCTGATGCATCGAGGGAAGTAAGTTCTTGCTCCAAGAAGAACATGAAAGAGAATGAAAATGTTTTTCCAAGAGAAAGGCTATGGTTAAGAACTCTAAACCGACTATTATTTCCTATCTTTCTCTTCAAGATCTTATCACTCAATTCAAGGTAGATAAGATGAGTTTAGACAAAAGGATGAAATCTCATACTTCGGCTCAGAGTGTTGCTCTTTCTTCATCTGCGGCTTCAGTGGCTTCTCTGGCTTTAGCTGAACAAAAGGATTTAACTGAGATCATTGAAGATGATTCTTTCACTCCAGTTATTTCTCAGTGTAACAAGAAAAAATTGACTACTCGGGCTTCCTCCATGCAAACTAGGTCACAATTGCGCTTGAATTGTTTAGAAAAAATTCACTACTCGGGCTTAATCTTTACCTTAGTTTGCTTTCTTTAGCTTAGTTTATCTTTCATTAGTGCATGACTGCATGTATTGCTTTCATTCTTTTCAATAAAATTTGGTTCCTTAAAAAAACAAAAAAAAATCATTTTTTCACGTAAACCTTTACTATCTCTTGCCATTAATTTCTCAAGTTAGGGTTTCTATAACAAATTAACGGCAGTTTCATTACTACTTCAAAGCTATATCATGTACCGAGTATTAAATAGCATGCTTTAGTTTTTAGGGTTTGCCTAAGTCACTCTACATTCAATAAATGCAGCGTGCTCAAAATCCTCAAATGTTAAAAGAGAGTTGCATTATTGCTAACCCGAGAAAATTGAATTAATGTAAACCCATCCTTTATCCCTACTGTCTTGACCTGTATGCCTCTAATACAATGCATTACTCATAATTCATCCTTTAAATTACTATCCCGGTGTTTATCGTCTTCGGCCTTCTCAGACGTGTCAGCAGTTGATGGCTTCTCGAGCTTGAAGGGGACAGCTGCGTGTTTCTTGATGAACTTGTACAATGCCACCACCGTCCTATCAGAGTCGACAGTAATCTGCCAGAACAAACCACACCCTTGTGTAATCAAAACAATAGAAAAGGTGTTATGTCAAGTATTAAGGCAGCATTCAGTAAGCGGTGATTCAATGCAATGTAATGAGATATGTATTCATTGTAAAATTACACTGCTTATCTTTTCATTACATTGCATTACATCTTACCAAACTACACCCATAGATAATAAAATATCACATACTGGATCAGAAGACTTGTTTCCAGCCGGGAAGAAAAGAAGGGTGGGAAATCCTCCAGCCTGCAAAAACCATTCAATATCAGAAATATGTTACTACTTACAACATCTAAAGGAATGATTGTAATGTTCTCTCCATCTCATAAAAATAGCATCTTTTAAAAAGTCAATTTTATACCCAAAACAATCATTCAATAAATGATAAATGGAGCAACTTTTGTGTAATTTTTCAAAAAAAAGGTTATAAATGCCATTGTCAGATTATGTCGGATTATATTCCATGACTTTCAGAATTATGCCATGCTAAAATATGCTTAAGATCAAAATATAAGTTGTATTTGAAACATTTTTTGCATTTCAAGGCTTAGTAATTTTATAAAAATTACCTTGGCTTTAGGATGTTCATTTGTAGTTCCATCCATTTTAGCAATGACAAGAGACTCAATGGAACGTAAATGCTTGGCAAGCTTGTTGTATGTTGGTTCTAGAGCTTGGCAATGTCCACACCATGGTGCGTATATCTATATGAAATTCAGACTATATATTAGTTTGGTGCCAGTGGAGATATTAGGAAAAGAGAAGTACACTGTAAGAATACACACCTCAAGGAGAACATCTTTTGAATTGTCCAAAACTATTTCTTCAAAATTATTTCCCACAACTATTTTTACATCATCTTCGTTCTGCACATGTAAGCAGATGGATAGAGCATTAGAGCCGAATAAGCAGAATCAAATTGGAGATGGCTCCAAAGAACAAAAGGGGTGATGGTGATGATTCAGGAGAACTTACAATCTCAGGAATAGGATCTGATTTGTAGAACGGTTTCAGTTTGTCTTCCACAAAATCAGCAGCAAATTCCTGATGGATAAAGGCAAAGATATAAAAGGAGAAACAAATGTTGATCAAACAATATATGTTAAAAGAGAAGCAGATTACGCCTAACCTTAATGTTCTCGAGTGTAATCTCTCTGTCAAAGATATATTTCTTAGCATCATCGTTTCCTGAGTATCCAAGTACCTAGAGTAATAAAGAATTACAAAATAAAGCTACAATATTAGGGACTGTTTGAGTGTTTGGTGGGACTTATTTGGCTGAAATAGCTAATTCCGATAAATTTTCAGAAAGGAAAAACGTGATTGGTGCCACATTGTAGCAAAATAGCTCAAAGCAACTTATTCGACTGAGGCTACCAAACAGAGAGCCTTACCCCATCTTTGGCTGCCCCTTCAATCTCGGGACAAAATACAGGAAAGGGAGATTTAGGAGAAGTGTTACCTTTGAAGCATCCCCATCAACTCCAAAATAATCTGCCACTGGCCTTCCAACCTCTTCGTCGTCCATTTTGATATATACAAATAGAAGCTGGATAAAGTCAGAAAAACAAAATAATAGCGTTAGTTAAACTAAAACGCAAGACTGCAAGTACACTTTAGCTTTCACAAATGGCAACCTAATAAAAGTCACAAAATTAAGAAATAAAGCAACGCTACAAGGGATTTACACACTAGAAAATCAAAATTCATTGTAGACATGTTAGAACACTGGTAGTAATGAACACAGAACAATCACAAATCTAAGGGAATAATAGCTAGAACAGATCACAACAGCTTATTGATAGAAAGAGAAAGTCGGTAAAGGGGGTACAAGGGTGGGACAGTTCGAGATGCCCAATCTCCAAGCTACCAGCCAAATGACAAATAACAGCCTGCCTTATTTTGTTCTCTTCTTACTATTTATAGCTACTTGTCCACGCAGGGACCAACCCCAACTAGCTATTATATAGTTAAGTAATAATACTACTTATTTCTCCTCTTGTACACTTTATTGAAGTACTGAATAGGCTGTGGCAGTCCCCCAAGCCTATCATTACTCCCCCCTGGAATTTCACCTTGTCCCCAAGGTGAAGATCTGGAAACTGTTCTGTCAATGACTGCAGTACTTCCCATGAATCTTCAAATGGAGGTAAGTCTTTCCAGTGGACTAGGACTTCCATCTTTCCCTCCTTGTTCACCCTTGAATCCAATATTTCTTCTGGTTTCACCTGTAGTTCCCAATCATCACTCAAACATGCTGGTAGAGGCTGAAATGCATTGGTAGATGGTATAGCTTTCTTCAGAAGTGAGACATGAAATATAGGATGTACTTTACTGTCAGTAGGTAACTGAAGTTTAAAAGCTACTGGACTGATCTTTTCAATAATCTCAAAAGGGCCATAATATCTGGGACTTAGTTTCTGGTTAATTCTCCTGGCCAAACTCTTGAGCTTGTAAGGTTGTATTTTTAAATAGACCAAATCTCCCACTGTCAAAAGTACCTCTCTCCTGTGCTTATTTGCCTGTTGTTTCATTTGATTTTGGGCTCTTTCCAAATTCTCTTTCAATTCTCTGAGCATCATGTTCCTTTGTGCAGTCATTTTGGAAACTTCTTCAACAACTGTAATGCTAGCATCCCCTCTAATCACTGTAGGAGGGTCCTGACCATATAGAGCTTTGTAGGGTGTCATCTTCAGGGATGCATGATAGTTGGTATTATACCAGAATTCTGCCCAAGCTAACCAATCAGCCCACTGTTTAGGTTTCTTGCCAGTAATGCACCTCAGGTAGGTTTCCAAGCATCTATTTACCACTTCTGTCTGTCCATCTGTTTGTGGGTGATAGGCTGTACTGTATTTGAGTTTAGTTCCAGCTAATTTGAAGAGTTCAGACCAAAATGCACTCATAAATATGCTATCCCTGTCACTCACAATAGTTTTGGGGAACCCATGCAACTTGACTATCTCTCTGATGAAAAGTTCAGCCACCTCTTTAGCATTAAATGGATGTGATAAAGCTAAGAAGTGAGCTGACTTAGTCAGTCTGTCCACAACCACCAGGATAATATCTTTTCCATGTGATTTTGGCAGCCCTCCTACAAAGTCCATGGAAATGTCGGTCCAGATATTCTGAGGAATAGGTAGGGGTTGTAACAACCCGGCTGGTTTTAGAGCTTGATACTTGTTTGTTTGACATGTAGGACATTCATCCACAAACTTCTTTATGTCTTTCCTCATTCCATGCCAATAAAACAAATTAGATATTCTCTTCATAGTTCTAAAGTATCCTGAGTGACCACCAATAGCAGAGTCATGGTATTCCTTCATAATTCTGATAACTCTGGGAGATTTACTAGGTAAAACTAGTCTCCCTCTGAAATATAATAACCCTTTTATACTCTGAAACTCCTGATGTTGATCTGGCTGTGATATGATCTGTTGGAGTATTGATTGACATTTGGGATCTGTAAGTAACTCTTCCTCCAAACCTTCCCATTCCTGTGTGGTGACTATAGAGATAGCATTTAGAGAAGGTCTTCTGGATAATGAATCTGCAGCTCTATTCTCCACACCAGGTTTATACTTGATAATGAAATTGTAACCCAGTAATTTGGAAGTCCATCTTTGTTGCTCCTCCCCCAACAATCTTTGTTCTGTCAAGAATCTTGAGCTCTTCTGATCTGTATGGACTTCAAAAGTTCTCCCTAACAGGTAGGGTCTCCATTTCTGGACTGCCAAAACAATAGCCATCAGCTCTCTCTCATAGACTGACCTGTTCTGGTTTCTTTTAGACAGTTCCTTACTGATATATGCAATAGGTCGACCTTCCTGCATCAAAACAGCCCCCAGACCTGTACCTGAAGCATCTGTCTCTACAATGAAGACCTTGTCAAAATCTGGGGTTGCCAAGACTGGTAGAGTGGTCATCCTGTTCTTTAATTCCTCAAACGCCTTTGTAGCCTCTGTCCCCCATTGGAAGTTGTCTTTCTTTAGAAGCTGTGTTAAAGGTAAAGCAATCTTGCCATAACCTTTTACCAATCTTCTGTAGTAACCAGTAAGTCCCAGAAATCCCCTCAATCCCTTCACATCCTTAGGTTTGGGCCAATGAGTCATAGCCTCTATCTTGGTAGGGTCTGCAGCAACTCCCCTTCCAGATATTATATGGCCCAAATAAACCAGTTCAGATTGCCCAAAAGAACATTTTTTTGAGTTTATAACTAACTGATTCTCCTTCAGTGCACACAAAACCTTCCTCAAATGTATTTGATGCTCTTCCTTGGATTTACTATATATGAGGATGTCATCAAAGAAAACCAGGGCAAATTTTCTGAGGAAAGGCCTCAAGACTTGATTCATTAGTGCTTGGAAAGTAGAGGGTGCATTGGTTAAACCAAAGGGCATTACCAAATACTCATAATGCCCTTCATGAGTTCTGAATGCAGTCTTGTGCCTATCTTCCTCCCTCATTCTTATCTGGTGATAACCAGATTTCAAGTCCAATTTGGAAAAAATCATAGCTCCACCTAACTCATCCAATAGTTCTTCAATGATAGGTATTGGGAATTTGTCAGGTACAGTAATTTTGTTCAAGGCCCTATAGTCCCCACAGAACCTCCAACCCCCATCCTTCTTCTTAGCTAATAAGATAGGGCTGCTATAAGGGCTATTACTGTGTTGGATTATACCATCATTGAGCATTTCTCTTATGATTTTCTCAATTTCAGTTTTCTGATAATGAGGATACCTGTAGGGCCTTATGTTTGGGATCTGTGCTCCTGGCTGAATATTGATTGCATGGTCACATGATCTGCTGGGAGGGAGTGTCTTCATAGGTGTGCACACTTCTGGAAATTCTGCCAAAATCTGTTTCCAAGTTTCATCTAGTTCATCTTTTTTTTCAAATCCCACAGACTTGCCTTCACACAGAATCAAATACCCATCCCCTGCATCATTGAGAATCTGAGTCATAGTGTTCAAAGATACCTCCAGAGAGTTTAACTGTGGATCCCCTTGTATTATTTGATTCTTCCCTTGCTCCTGCCATCTGATCACCTGTTTTTTAAAATTTACTTCCACATCTCCTAAGCTTGTCAACCATTCCATCCCAAGCACCATATCAGTACCCCCAAGATCCAGGATATAAAAATCCTGTTCAATTTCTGCTTCTTGTAAATCTATAGATAATGATTCACACCTCCCATTATTAATCAGTTTGTCACCATTGCCAATCTGTACCTTGTACCCTGTAATAGTGGTGTAAGGTATCCTGAGTGTCTTCACCATCTCTTGAGATATAAAGTTGTGGGTAGCTCCACTGTCAATGAGTATGTCCACTTCTTTTTCTCCTATATCCCATTTCAAGCAACCCTTCACCTTGAAAGCTCTCATGGAAGGAATCCCTTCCTTACTCATGAGTGATAACTGCATGGATTTGGATTCCATGCTAGTCTCCTCTTCTACAGGAATTTCCCTTTCTTCCCCATCAGAATTTTCTTCTTCTGTGGAATCTTCTACCATAATCAACTTATAGTTTTTCAGTTTACAAGTATGATCCCTGTTCCATTTCTCTCCGCATTTAAAACAAAGTCCCTTCCTACTTCTCTCCTGATATTCTTCTTGTGACAACTGAGGTCCCACTTTTCTGATGCCAGAGGGATGTATTTCAGTAATCTTCCTTCCTGCTTTATCAAACCAAGCATTGTTATTCTTGTCTTCAGCCCCATTTTTTCTCTGATTTGGCCAGGAATTTCCAAATCTGCTCTTGAATCCTTCACCCCAAGTCTGATTTCTCATAGGCAATGGCCCTCTCTCCTTCCCAGACAATTTATCCTCCTCTTTTCTCTTCAAATATTTGGCCTCATTCTTCTGCTCAATTAGAATGGCCTTATCCATAACTTCAGTCAACGATCTGGACGCAAACAGTTTCAGCTCAGATTTGATCTCCTGCTTGAGGCCAGATATGAAAATCCCTCTCAATAATTCTGTATCCATATTCTGTTGTGGTGCTATCACCATTTCAAATTCTGCTCTGTATTCCTCCACAGTTCCTGTTTGTTTCACACCGAGTATAGGCCCGTACGGATTTTGAAGTAATTCCGGTTGAAACCTACGGATAATAGATTTCTTCAGCACCTCCCAACTTGTTTCTTCCGTCTGATTTTCCCATAGGTGAAACCAATTCAAAGCTCTGTCCTCCATGGCAACCATAGAGGCTTCTACCTTCTCCTCTTCCATAATCTGATTCAATCGAAAATATCTCTCCATTCGTATTATCCAGTTGTATGCTCCTTCTCCATTAAACAATGGTAAATCTATTTTTCTTCCCGTTCGTACTGGTAATCTCACGTGCTCCTCAGTACGAAGATGATTATGGATATTAGAATATACTGAATTACCTCTAGACGTCGCAGGGCTGTGCGAAGTCTGACGCCGATGGTGATGGCGAGATCCCGACCTTCTACTCGCGCGGAATTCCTCGCTCATAGCCTCCATTCTTCCCGTCATGTTATCCATCATGGTTCTCATGTGTAACAGCGTTTCCTCCGTCGCTATTCTACTACGTTCCATCTCCTCTCTTAGATTTTCCATCTTGCCTCTCGTTCGAACCATCCACAGTTCCGATCGAGAGATAAACTACCTGGTGATGCTTCTACGAATAATCCGATCACCAGACAATTGCTCTGATACCAATGTTAGAACACTGGTAGTAATGAACACAGAACAATCACCAATCTAAGGGAATAATAGCTAGAACAGATCACAACAGCTTATTGATAGAAAGAGAAAGTCGGTAAAGGGGGTACAAGGGTGGGACAGTTCGAGATGCCCAATCTCCAAGCTACCAGCCAAATGACAAATAACAGCCTGCCTTATTTTGTTCTCTTCTTAATATTTATAGCTACTTGTCCACGCAGGGACCAACCCCAACTAGCTATTATATAGTTAAGTAATAATACTACTTATTTCTCCTCTTGTACACTTTATTGAAGTACTGAATAGGCTGTGGCAGTCCCCCAAGCCTATCAAGACAACATAAATCAATTTATGCCTACAGTCGGATATTTTTACAAATAAAGAAATAAGTTTTATAAACATGAAGTTCACACAAATGAAGGGAATAAAAGTGGGTCAGTAACCCGCACACCAGCCAGCAAAGATGGTAAAGTAGTGCTTTTTTCCTTCTTTTAGTTGACAGTTCTGATTTTTATTCTCTTCATTTCCTTCTTTATATAATTGCACGGGGGGATCTGGTACCTTTCCCTTGAAGAACTTTGCAGCATTTTGGAAGATCGGCAAGAACGTTGCAGTATCATTTGCAGTGGTAAATAGCATCACCTGAGAATACAATGCTTTGAATCAATGAAATATGCACCACCACAGCTTCTGCTGTTTGAAAACCTTAATAACAAAACTATCTCTATACTAAAGATCACAATTGATAGTCTCACATCCTGTAAAGCAGCCTATTACCTGTTTCTTGATTGGACTTTCAAAGAGTAAAGGTGCACTCTCTCTAGTGAATGTTATCACCAAAGGAAGCTTGTTTGCAGAAACAAATGCACCTATAGCAAACTTCGTGAAGACACCCTCTGCATAGACCGTGAGATAACACTCATGAATCAACAGTCAGCTCTATTTCTTTAAATGTTCGAAGCGTTCATATACAGAACACTATTCTGTTTTAATACTGGGTTGGAAGATAAAAACACAAGATAAACTAACCATAATGGGCAACCTTTTCTTCTTCCTTCTTAAGCATGACCAAAGTGGGGCGTTCCACAGTAGGTTCTATGTGGAAAAATTTGGCAACATTAGGGTCATCTGTCTGGAAGAAGTTAATGTCATCTTCTAGTTTTGAGGCAGCAGCAAACTCCTCACTTGTAGGACCCTATAATGTTGGGGGCAACGACAAAAAGAAGATACATCATAGAATCCAAGGCATATAAAAAGATGTCTTCTTTAAGCATCTAAATGATGGAAATCAACGTGTGCCTCGTAATAAAAACATCATTATTACTACATATTATATAGATGCATCTTAAACATACCACCAAAGAATCAAAGAATCCCAAAACAAATTTGCTTTCAGTAGTTAATATCCTTTCTGCATCCTCAGTTGAGGTTATATTGTATACTCCAGGCCCAATCCTCTTCTTGATCCAAGTCACAATTGCATCTCTGCACATATGTAATTTTTAATAGCAGCAGTAAAAACAAACAACAAAGATCAAACCTTTTCCATATATAAGCTATAACACTATTAGGAAAAAACAAAAGACATGTTTAAGTAGTTCATTCAGAAAGTATTTCCCAATTGACATGATAGTTCATTAACGATATTTCTTATCTAGGACTCAAAAGAATCATAAGATAAAGCTTTTAAGCCATACATATGCCAAAAGCTTTAATAATTAGCACATATAGCCCAATCAGACTAAAAGATTGAGAGCCCAATCAATTAGTTAGCCTAAGACAGGGATTCTTAACAATATTTTTTCTTCCCCTGAAATCAGAGAGACTTACTTGGTTCTTGGGCCATTGTAGGGTTTATGCTCACCGTCAACAAAGAAGAAAACAGAAGGGAAACCCTGGACCTCATAGTTCTCGGCGAGCTCATTCTCCTTGGTGGCATCGACCTTAACAAGCGTCACATTCTCTGGATTAAGCTCAGTCGCGGCGGCGGCGTATTCAGGGGCAAGATTCTGGCAATGCTTGCACCACGGCGCGTAAAACTCCACCATCACATACTTGTTAATCTCCACGAAATCGCTGAAGTTTCTATCCGTCAAAACAAATACGTCCTTTTCGTCTACCTTCGGCCCGTCCTCCTCCTCCTCTCCGTCACCAAACCCCTGCGGAACGTCAAAGTCGTCGTAGCTGTCGAAATGGTCGTCATCGTCATCCTCGAATTCGTCGTCGCTGCCAAACTCTGAATCCAACTGGGGAGCGACTTCCGAGGAGCCGTAAGATTCGTCGTCAGATTCGAGAAAGCTGAGGTCTTCTTCATCATCATCGTCGGCGGTGGTCTTGGCAAGAGAGGGAGAGTTTAAGCGGGAGAAAAGAAGAAGCGAGGCGAGAGTGAGGAGAAGGAGTCTGCACGGAACCATTTGGGAATAACGAGTTGACTCAGTGAGCCACTGTACGCTGAAGATCAGAGTAAATCGGCTATGGAGTGTGTCAGTGTGAGACCCAACCGAAACTGCAGAGCAGAGTAGACTGAGACACTGGACTGAGTCCGAAACGGCGCCGTTCGTCCTAAATAAGCCCCGTCAGTTTGTTTTGACTTTTGAAATTATGTGCCGTTGACTATATAATGAAGGATTGAGTTACAACTTACAAGTTACAAGAGTGTGTGGCTTGATTCTTTGGAAAGCATTTTGCATAATTAAAATACTTGTAGTGTGAATCCCGTGAATATGATAGTCCACAAATTTCGACAACTTTTCCTTTTTATTTATTTTAAAAACTTTTCTTGTTTTACCTTTCGAGGCCTTATTTGGTAAACAGCGGTTAACGGGTTGTGTTAGCGATTTTGACCGACGGATTGATTTAGCGTTTTGACCAGCGGATTAGATTAGCGGATGGTATACAAACCGTTTGGCTAATTAGCGGCTTGGATATAACGGTTTCTATATAAAATTACGTAAAAGGGCTTATCTTTATTTAAACAATTCGTCCTTCCATGTTATTTTTATTGCCATTTTATACTACTATACGTGTATATATACAGTATAAAATATGAGATATAACACCTTAAGGTGCAGGACCCACAACAATAAAAAATGAAACATGTCCTTTATTAGTTTAGTATTACTCCGTATATTATTGCTGCTACGGGTGGATGATACAGTGATAACACCTGGGGTTAAGTGGACTTTTAATATATTATTCAAAATCGCTGAGTATAAACACTGCTCCAAGCAGCGTGTTCAAATTTGGCGATTTGGAACAAAATCACCAGTCCAAACCGCCGTTTACCAAACAATCGTATTCAGCGGATTGATCAAAGTCAAACCTCCAACATTATTTGAAACGCCAAAATTGAGTGAACCGCTATTATCCAAACACAGCCATATAGTTCGCAATATCTAATCAGACAATAGTAATGTACTGTAGTAGTGGATAGTTCATAAACTTTTGCTGATATAATATTGATTTTATTGATAAAAGTAAAATGAATGAGATTATTATTATGACGATTCATGTGTATTGCACGCACATAAACACTTCACCATTTGAAGATGGTGAATGCCTCACAAGTATTAAAACACTGTAATCTTTGAAGTCGTGTCCAAAATCCTTGAAGGCTGTATTTTCCGTTGCACACTTCTATTGATGGAAAATGTTCTCTTGATTGATAAGCATATAGAGATAAATGCAGGAAATACATAAATGAGATGATATGGAGATTGAGAACATGTTTGATACTCGTATTTTCCTGTTTGTCAATTTTATCGGTCTTTTTTTTATTAAATACGTTTTTTTACTTTGCGTGTTGAATTGTGTAACAATCATAACAAGTAAGATTGTAGTTACTTTCGTGAATGAATTGCATGCAGTTTTTGTAAAAGACAATTTTAATTATTTTTTCATGTATTTTTTCTTAATTTTATTATTAAAATATATTTTAAATGCTCCGTATAATTTTTTCATAAGCCAGTCTTTTCATTCACTTCTGTTTATTCTAGCGTTACAAAAAGGCCCCTGAAATTGGCATAGTTCAACCTTCAATTGCTAAGGGCTAGATAATAAATAAAAAATACGAGTATAAGTAGTTAATGGTCACAGTACTACTAATTCAAAGATGGAAATTTTAAATTTATAAAAAATCGGGTGTTGTAATAACAATCTCGACAATATATATGGTTCACAGTACCCGCCACTCTCAACCTTTTATTTTTACCTTCAACAATTCGCGCACATATGCTTTTATTAGACTTGAATTGCACATGGCGCATTTATTAGATGTTAAACTGTATAGTGTTTGTTCACAAGTTGATTTTAAGTAGAAAAGAAATGGTCAACCAGCTTGGCCAAACATGGTGGCTACATATCATGGATTAAGGTAATTCGCTTCAGCAGCTATATGGACGCACAAACATGAGGATCTAGTCAGAGTTTGACTCCATCCATCCGTTCTTCAAGTATTTGTCCTGAACTCAAAGCTAAAAGGAAATTTACACGACTAAAATCTGTAGAAGCCTGTTTTGGAAAACCTATATGTACTCTCCAAGATTGACTGAATGTCAACGATCAGTGTCCATTTTCAAATTGCCACAGAAATTACACTCCAGAATACGAGATGGACCACCGCCAATAGCATTCTCTGGAGACAAAGGAGCCATCGTGCCTGCACAGTTCTTCATCTCACAGACATACTTGCGAAGGAACCGCACATGTGGCAAGTCACTGTTTTTCTCCCATTGGTTCTTTCTATCGTCCCAGTTCGCTTCAATCTTGCACCTACTACATTCACAAGTGAACCCATAATCCTCCATCAAGATCCTTTTCCTTGTACAGTAATCCCTATTAAGCCTAAAATAGCTGATGCAGACCTCTTCCCCTTCCTCAACATCCCGAATCATTCTAAAAACAATGTCAGTCTTGTGTTCTTTAACATAGACATAGTCAAATCTGTGGAGAATGTATTACATCAAGGGTCAATTGTCATTGTATTAAACCGAGATACAGCTGTAGTAAGATGCAAGACTTTACATACAACATGACATCCAAAAACAATTATACAAGGGATGTATTTATTGACATTTGTTCTCATCCTAAAAAATCAACTCATTAGTAGCACAAAACTTTTCATGTAGATTTTTGTTCTTATAGTAACCGCTACGTGATGACTTAGGCAACAATACCCATATATGTATGTAGTTATACTTAAATAGAATGAACAAATGTACCATTTGTGTAAATAATAATAAAAAATTCATAACTAACATAAGGCTTTCATGCGAAGTCAATATAATAAGAAAGTGATTCAAAACCCGATCACAAAAGGGATAATTATACGAGGAAAGAGAAGCTATTAGATACTTATATATAAATATATAGTATATTAGTATTCATAAAATAACAATATTATCCGTAATATGCTTCCTCAATAAGTAGCACCAAATGAGACGCAATCTTGAAAGTGGATTTTTATCTTGGCTGCACAAAACTTGACACTCAGAATATAGGAGAAAAAATTAAAACTCCACCCTTTCAGCTCAAATGTCCACTTTATCGAAAACACACATATCAAGAGAGTTGCATAATTTTTAGATGAATAATACGACAACTCACTTTACCAAACTCATCTTATTTATGAACTCACTGCCCCTTTAGCTCAATCTTTTCATGCTTTCTGACATGTAACTTTCAAGAATAGAATCAGGAAAAAGTGATTATTTTCCAATAAATGAACCAAATTTGCAGATAAAAAGAAATGAAAAAACCCCTCAAAATGCAGACAATTAAACAGGAATGAGGAGGGAAGACAACTAAAACCTGCACGCATTAGGAATACAGTCGTGGTTGAAGAAGGTCGCTATGGGGTAAATGGCATAAGCTTTGATCGATCTCTGAGGCCCGTCAGGGGAATAAGGCCCCATTAAGCAAAACGAGTTCAGCCTGTCCTTTGCAAGAAGCAGAGCAGTGGTATCAACAGAAAGTTCAAGTTCGCTATGTATAGAGATTAAAGAGTGAAGAAACTCAGCAGCACAGAGAATGGAATCATCTGGAGTGCCATGAAGAGAGAGCAAAGTTTGGATATGTGAAGGGGAGCGGCGGAGAAGGTTGTGAACTGCAACAAGGAAACGGGCTTGGACTTGGCGTTCAGGGGGGTGTTGTAAGAATAGTGATGAAGAGTTCATAAGAGAGGTGAGGGTTTTGCATGCCCAAGCAGAGTGTGAGGAAGTGAACGCAAGGGAGAGGCACTTGTGGGAGCAGAAATGGTGGTTGGAGCACGATGGGCATGAGACATGATCCAGATTGGAATCAGAGGGTGGCAAGATTAATCCAAAGCAGTGGTCGCAGTAAGTGAAGGGGGAGGCAGAGGGTGAAGAAAACAAAGGACAAGCTGAGTAGAGAACGAGAGGGGATTCAGTGAGGATAGTTTCCCCCGCCTTAAGTGGCTTTGCTGCAACCAGACCACTTCCTTTCCCAGGTATCTCCTCCTTTCTCAACGCAGAGCTTGAATCAGCCGCCATGAGCCTGCATGCATATGAATCTTATAAAAATGAATTTTTCTTAATGTTGATAAACTATATTGAACCAAACATTAGTTATTCCTATTTGGTTCAGTCACATATCTTTGTCTCAAGGATCTCTAGTAGGACATGCAAGAGGTGTTAAAGCACACGATGCCGACTTAATCTAGGATGCCTTAGACATTGAAAATATATTTTAGTGGTTTATTTTAAAGAACATTGAACATTACTACATTAGACTTGTGGTATTTGAAGCATATTTCTATATTCAAGTTATGCATACATTTTACTACACAAGGCTTAAGACGGTCTTGCTTATTCTAATCCTATATATTAACCACATAATTTTATTTCAAACCTTTAGGCAACCGGTAAAAAAGTTTTTACTTTTCATTAATCTATTTAACCACACATCATTCTTTTTTAAGGAAAAACTTATAACCTGGTAATTCTTATAACTAATACGGAGTATGTTACTTCATTAATTATTTAATTTAAATTCAACCGCATGATAATACCACAACTATAGGTCCAATTTCTGTTATAAGATTCTATTTGGTGGTATTCATTTGTTTGAAACCTCATTGAAATGTCCAAATTTTGTGAGATTTTCTCACAATGACTACAAATCCCACAGAAAATAAGAGGACTTTATGAAACTGGCGAGTAGAATAATAATACTGAGTATATTTTGCTTAAATCTTAATGAAGCCTAAAAGTCTGTGCAAAGCTTGATAAAGGAATGTTGGGCGATTGAGTTTAGGGTTTCTTACAGGGTTTAGTGACTTTAATCTGCAAAATAAAACGAAAAACAACTCATGTCTTCTATCTTCCTACTTTTTGGGCATTCCTTTGGGAAATCACACCAGATTATACGGGTATACCAAAGACTATATATAATCAAAACATCCGACATTCTATTTTCTTTTGATTTTTTGCCATCTAATCACTTCAATTCTTTCCCTGTGATTTATCGGTACAGATTCTACTCGTTAATACCATGCCAGGAAACTTAATTTCATAAAATTAATCTTGAAAAGAGATATTAAACAACCGGGCAAATAGCAAAGACGAATTCAAAGACACCGTAAAGAGAGGTCAGGAAGCTCACCAATGAATTATAGTCCAAGGGAGAAGCGAAAGGAAATGAAAATCTGTGTTTGGCCGCGTTTCGCGCAAGAACGATGATATAATTCCAGGATTGCCTGACGAATTATGTTTACCAAATGCAGGAATCTGAAAAGAAAGAAGGTAATTCGAACATCGAGTATAAGGGAATCCAGATTTATTGTGAGAGAGAGGTTTTACAGGAAGAGAATGATCAGTACTCAGCAGTTACCTGCTATTATCCAGAAACTTCCCATGTAACAGCCAACTAATACCATAACTAAATTGATGACGGGTGCTGCTGACAAATTAGTCAAACTGGCATGGAGAAAATGCAAAATTAGGATTATATGTTTTTTAGGATTTTTTTAGGACTAAAATATACTAGCTTGACAAAATTAACGCTCAATGGGGGTGTTTGGCAATCGCCTGTTGGCCGTTGGCCATTGGCCGATCGAATTAGTTGATTGACAAGAGCAGATTCTATCGACTGTTTTGGTTAGCTGATAAGATTAGCATTTTGTAATATAGTGTTTGATAAAATGGCCGTTTTAAATCAACTGATAACTTGATAAATGACTTTTAAGGACATCAATTAATTTTTATTAATGTAGTTAGTACAACTACATAAACCATCTTTATGAATTTAAAAATATAATATATTAACAAAAGTAGTAATTATTTTAAACATGTTTCCCGAATTAATAAATTTAATTAATATTTTTAATTTCCTTAGGAACAAAATTCGTTATATATAAATGTTTAATTCGTTAAGTAGTGTTTAATTTGTTTTTTTGAATAAAGTAGTGTTTAATTTGTTAATCATTACAATTAGTAGTCTTTAACTTGTTACTAATATATACTTAATAGAAATTGCTCTAAATAGAAGCAAAAAAACGTTTTGAAATTCCAAAATAGGAGTATCATGTTTTTTATTCCGTGAATATGAGTAATTTGCTAAGTTTGAAAAAAAATGTCATATTTTAAATCCTAGTAATGCCAAACTTAGTAGAAATGTACTCTTATTCAAGAAATAAAAAACATGATACTACTATTTTGAAACTTCAAAACTTTTTTACTCCTATTTAGGGAATTCTCTCTATACTTAATTACTAAACATTTAGTATAAATCATTTTTGCTAGCATAAAAAGTAAACCTTTTTTTAAGGAAACAAAAAAAAAAAGTAAACATGAAACACCGTCCATCTAACTTTCAAATAGAAAATTATAAAACATCAATTTAGAGCAGACATCAAATTAGAGTAGGGATGCTATTTACGTGGAGCAGTTAAAGGGTTAGACTAGACTTTTGAAAACTGAAATTAAATGGATGAAGTTAAAATGCCATGATGCTTTGGGCATCTCCAATGGGGAGGTGGATTGCCAACAAAATGTCATCCACCTCACTTAATGGATCCTTTGTGAGCAAATGCACTTTCCAATACAAAAAGAAATGGATGAGGTCCATCCTATGTGCCAATGCACAAGGTCAAGTAGAAGGTCTAGTTTGAGACCTTGGGTCTCACCTCCATCTCTTTGCCAAATTGATTTTTTTAATCATGATTCTTATTTGCATAGCATTTCACTTTAGGATTGGAGTAGAGTATCAATAGACCCTCTCTATTTGTTGTACACTTAAATACACTCTTTCTGTTTGTTGTACACATAAGTATCAATCCACCCTATGGATTGAAGATGCTCTTAGCGTTTCTGATTTTGGCCGTTTAGGGGTAAAAACTATTTTCAAAAGCTAGTCACCAAACACTCAAAATGGCCGATTAAGATGGTCAAATGACTGATATTGGTCAAATCAGCCAAATTTTGGCCGAGTCTTCCGGACTGTCTCATGTCGACGTCCATTTTTCGACCGTCAAGCTCCCCATAGCAGGTAATTGATTCATGTCTCCTCCTCCTCCTCTTCTTCCTCCTCCTCCTCCTCCTCCTCCTCCTCCTCTTCTTTCTCATCCTCTTCTCATCATCTTCCAGGTCCTCTGAATTTTGATTTTTTCAACTTTTTATACTCCATCCGTGCCCAAAAACACTTCCCACTTTCCTTTTTGGGTTGTTCCCAAAAATACTTCCCACTTTTCCATTTTGGACAATTTGTGTGGCTCACATTCATTTTACCTTTTTCTTACACAACCACAACCATACATTTTCACTTTATTTCACTTTCTTAATAAGTGTGCCAAGTCAAACCGGGAAGAATTTTTAGGAACGGAGGGAGTATTAAAAAATGAAAATACTTTTTTGGGTCTAAAATTTCTGATGAAAAGTGAGTTTCAATGAATGACCATGATCGGATATATCTGAATTTAAATTTATATTTGCCATTTTTTAATATTGGTAAATTCTAGAAAATGCCACTTTTCTAATTAGAGAATGTCAAAATTATTAATTATTTGAAGAAAATGTCATTTTAATGATATTATGTTTATCTCTAGAAAATGTCACTTTTCTAATCTGAGATGTCAAAATTATTAGTTATTTGAAGAAAATGACACCTTTATGACAATATGTTTATCAAGATGGCAATCTCACTTCAAAATTATATTATTTGTAATGCCATATCTTTTGACCTTTTTGCCAAATGGTGTCATTTTTTTCAAAGTTTGGCATGTTTATACATTCTTCCACAAAAATGACATCATTTAACAAAATGTAGAAAAAATGACATTACAAATGCTATGATTTCAAGGTGAGATTGCCATAGTACTATCATACAAATAATTTGTTTTAATTGGAACCTTGTTTTAATTTCTCTTCCAAAATCTCTAAATCAAAATAATTTTTTTAGAATAATCTCAAGAGTAAGAAAGTGTTAAAGTGAAAATAAAAAAAATTAAAACAGGAGAGAAGAGAAGAGTGGAAGAGAAGAGAAGGAGAAGAGAAGAAGAGAAGAAAAGGAGAAGAGAAAGGAGATGGAGAAAATCACCAGGCTTCATCAGAGCTTTGGAGTCGGCGATGAATCTGCGCCCGCATCTGGGTTTCTTCATCACAGATGGGTCTGCGCATAGGGGTATTGGAGTCGGCCGACATATTCCAGGTTTAATTAAAGGAAGATAAAAAATGTAATCGGTAGACCTATTTAGGGTATAATAAACTTCAAGTTATATTTTGGAATTTTAACTATGTTTTAATCCTGTTTAAGACAATTTTTTAAAACGAAATCAATGGGAAAGGTCTCCCAATAAAAATGCCGCATGCAGCAAAGCTTTACACCCACCTATTTTTTATAAGAGGCCGTATCCCCTTAGTTGGGCCCTTAGTTGGGCTTAAATTGCTCGGACATTAATGGACTATTTTAAAAAAATGACTTACTCAAATACATGGACAATATATGTATGGCTGGGAAGTGTCATACATTGTTTACTTATTTTTTTAGTTATTTAATTAATATGGTCAATATTTCATTAGTAAGTAAATTGCTATTAAGTTCAAAATCGGAAAATATTATATCTTCATTTTGGAAGATAAAATATTACAATTTTATCTTTTTTTTCTAAAAAAATGTGACTATTGTTTTTTACATTCTTAGTATTTCTCAATTTTTTTGACTAATCTAAAATTATCAACACATTTTGTATTATACATTCTCACTATTTCTCACAAGTAATCTGACTTTTCTATATTACATCTTTGCTGCACATTGGAACTATTTGTAGATCTTATTTCCATAGTGATGGATCGCCGACCTGGGGTAGCTCGAGTCCAAAAAAACAAGTAGAGGAAGTCACAAAAGCTTAAGTAAGATTAGGTAAATATTTCAGCAGAGTAACAACAAGAGAGTTTAATTGTGGATCCCTTTCCACGGGTTGGAAGATGATATTTATACTAAAGGAGTAATACTTGGTACTCAAATAAAAATGAAGCTATTCTACTGTGGAGAGGACGTGTGTCTTGCCTGCCTAACAGACTAAACAGCCTGATCTAATGGGGTGTTGCCACGTGTAAAGGTGATTGGAGAGATAAATGGGACAACTGGCTGATTGGAACTGCCTGTAACAAACTAATACTGGAATACACATGTGGGCTACACGTGTATTATCCGGAATATTCTTTTGTTGGGAGTGACGTGTGTGGCACCTATTTGAGGTAACTTAACAATCAAACAATCATAACAGGTTTAAAGAAGCAGATAGAAAGATATCAAGATCAACAACACCTTTGGTATACCGTGTAAACTGGCTGCTGCTCTCCCTCGAGAAGGAGAGCAGCGGCAAACCCTAGTCTCTCTATCTCTGCGCCTCTATTCTCTAAAGCCTCGATCGTTAGGGTTCCCGTAAGTTAACCTCCTTTTATAGGAGAAGTTGGCTAACTTACGGGTTACAAAGAAGCTAACGGGCTGATACACATTTGTGGCCTGTATTACACGTTTAATTAATAACTACACAAATACAAAGATATTTAATTAGATTGGACACCATAAAATATTCCTAACAATCTCCCCCTTGGTGTTCAAACGTGTTGAATCAGCATTGCAGCACATATATCTTTGTCTTTGTTGTTATTCAGCTTCCTTTGTCTTTGAACTTGACTTCTGAGGAAGGCTTTCTGAAGAAGTCCTTGCAATCTCCCCTTTGATGTCTTCTTGGCAAATTGATCTTTGATGCCGGGGGTTGAGGGATCTTCAGTATCTTGCATGTAGTCCTTGCCTTCCAGAAGTTGCTCTTGATCAGCTTGGATGAAGTCCGGTGACGCCTCTAGAATGAATATTCTTTGGAGAATATGTGACGCCCATGGAATTCATCTTGAGGACACGAGTATTTGACCTCTGTCTCCTCCACAATGTAGTCTTTTTGACTATTTGAAATGAATGCATTTGAGAAGAACTTGTCCGTGGCAGAGCGGAACATAATGATGGTTGACTTGTGAGCGTAGCTGACCATTTGAGTTGCGGAGATAGTAAAGGAGTGTTGGAGGAGAGAAGTGTCCCAGAATAATTTTTTTTGACAGTTAACAGCATGTGGACCACTCTCCCCCTCATGACGATCCGATAACTCGGGGCGTCATGCCTTTATTCTTTTATTCTGTCGAAATAAAATAGGAAAAACAAGCAGAATGTAAAGAAGATAACGTAGTCCCCCGGGGTCGTGTAGACGCCCGTTATCATCACTTTAGAGATAAACTCTTTAGCAATGGCCTGAAAATGTTGGTGATTCTTATGTTGCAACAGCAGTACTTCCTTCCAATCCTTGGTCTACATCTGTAATAGATGAGCCCTATGGAAGTTCTCGCCGGTCATGGAGACCCGCAACTGACTCAAAAGTGTGTCTGTGTCCTAGAAAATTTCAAAATATT